TCATTCTTGCCAGTGTTTAACCATTCAGCGCTCGCGCGCTCTCCTGGAGACCGTACGCTCATGCGCACTCGCACTCGCAGCACACACATAATGCCAGGTTCACATTACTCTGTTTGCAGTGCATACGTGGTGCGTATTTTTTCCGCGCTCCTGTTAACGGATTAAAGCGTTCACTGCACACGGTTGCGGTCTGGCAGTGTGTTCAGGAGCGGTGGCAAAGAGGCAAAGAGCACTTTTAGATAAACACGGCAGTAATAGATGGCACTCGTGGAGGAAGGAAAACAAAGTTCTTTATGAACCGCGGGATTGCTTGTAATAAAGATTTCAATGCAAAATAAAAGGCAGTAGAGCTGACTATTTCTGTCAATGGTAAGTTTGTGATAACATAAGAAAAGTAGTTTAAATGTTTTGCCACATGCTTGAGCAACTTAATATATAAATCTAGAAGTAAATGCAAAAGTAAAAAGCATTGAATGTGTTATATTTATTGCGTTTAAACACGTCTATGAAAGATTGTATTACTGTACTGTGTAAAAAAAAAAAAAAAGAATCACAATGCTGAAAAAGCATTTTCAGTGACAGTGTTTGGATTTGGAATTAAAATAATGGATAAATGTTGTGTTTGTGGTAAACAGCCACGGATCAAAATTTGATCAAACCGAATTGAAGACTTTATAAGTACTCGCTGGAACCCTGTAACTGGGAAATCTGTAATGAGTGTGCAAGTAATGCATGAAAACATGACACCAAAGCCCTGTCCGTCTGACTTGCATGTGTGTGCTTTTGAGGAATAGTGCATAGAAATACTCTCAGTATGCTTCAGTAATTATTCACAGTAATTATTGGCCACAACAAGCTGTTGATTTGCACTTGCTAGCTCAGAAAGTCTGTATCGCTGCATCCTCAACTCTAGTTTTTCTAACTTTGTTCTGAGCCTTGAGATACTTTTTAAAGCCGTAAAGTCTGAATTTCAAGTTTAACTAATTACACCGAGGCCCTTTAATTAGAGAGAGATACAGATGGAGGATCTGTCTGGCGAACGATCAAAGGTGCGCGAGTCTTTTCCCCAAACGGACACCAGGAGTCTTTCTGTGGTCTTATCTAACCTTTCCGTGTTTCCTCTGTGTTTCTTCCTCAGCTAAAAGCCCTTGGATTCCCAGAAGGACTCGTTATACAGGCCTACTTTGCTTGTGAGAAGAATGAAAATTTGGCTGCAAAACAACAGAAACAACAGAACTTTGATGATGATTAGAGGAGTGGCCCCCCGATCATTTTCCCCTCTTATGTTTTTTTTTTTTTTCTTTTTGAATGATCATTTTTGAGAAGAAAATCTATACACACACACACTCTCACACAAACACACAGGCTGTCATATTCTGTCTAAATTTTACACACTGGATGACATGATCACGTCCGTCTGGAGACGAGCGCATCATTTGTTTGTCTCCAGAGGCAGAAATCAGTAAAAGCCTCTTTGCCTCATCTAACACTTGCCTGTGTGATACCTGTTTGTTTTTCATTTATTCTTTTCTTATGACCGATAAAGAGCATTGTTTTCTCCATCGTTAGGACATGTTAGCAGGTTCAGGGGGCTCGTGAAATTAGTTTTCCATGAATTAGGAATCCGGATTGATCGGGACGTTTGGTTGGATCACATTATATCAGTGTTTTTCTTCTGTTTCTTATCGCTCTCTTTCTCTCATTCAAGGTGACCATTAATAGGGATCCCAAATGCTGCAGTTTTAAATGACAGTAAAGATTTTAAAGAAGCAAATGGAGTTATGATAGATTGGTTTCTCTCTTTATGAGCGTCTGAGTAAAGGATCGGCTCTTAATGTGGGTGTTTTGAGTGATACTGACACATGATGCAGCCCTTTCATATACATTAAGAACCATTAAAAGCATGTATATGACTTCCATAGTTTGACGTTTAATATCACTATACTGTCATTTTACAGGGAAATAAACGTTTTAAACGTAAATACAGATTATCTGTTCTTTTGTTTTACTGTGAGGAGATAGATAGATAGATAGATAGATAGATAGAGATATCCAAATGCTTGGATTTTGGATAAAAAGCTTGAAAATGCAGTTGCATTGGTTTGATAATAATTCGCTTTCTTACTGAATAGTGGTTGCTGCTTCAGTCAGCGATGGCTTGAAAACGACAAATAACAAATTATGGTTAAAACGAGAACTAAATACTTGAGTAGAGTGTTTTTTCATGGAAGAGTCTGCGCTTTCGAGCCATATAAAAGGTAAACTAAAAAATGCCCCTGCGCCGTTAAACTAAATATTTTAAGTTGCGATTAAAGTGAAATGTGAAAATGAATGAAAAATGTTCATTGCGGCATACGTTTAGATCTGCTCACAATGCATAAGATTTTTCTATGCACGTTTTTCCCCCCCAGCGTTATTATAGTATTATTTAGCAGTATTATAACAAATCGCACACGGTGTTGAGCGCAGATTAGTGAGGAAAAATCCGCAAAACGCTAGGAACAAGAAAATACTTTATTATAATTTCAAGATGTCTTAAAACTTGAGGACGGAAAGACAAGAATCATGATATGGCTTAATGTGACGATTAAACTTCATACGGGCATGATTTCATTGAATAAACAAACAAAATGTCAAAACGCGGCGCAGGTGTTTTGATATGAAAGTATCTCTGAAGGAAACCACCTGCCCTCAGAAAAGTTTTGCTGTCATTTTCATTTCATCTTGCTTGTGTATAATGTACCGTTAATGAGCGCAGTGCTGCTTTATGTACAGTCGTTACCGGGGAAACCGGTTTGTGCTGTTCCAAAAGCGCCACCTGCTGGAAATTTGCTGTTCTTGTTCAGAAGAAAATGCAAAAATCACTAATGTGCCTTCAAAAAAATCCAAACGATTAACAAAGTGTGTGTGTGTTAAATTAAGATAATTTATACTTTTGCGTGAGGGTGTGTTTTAAAGATTTAAAGTTTTAAGATAACTTATAGCTACTTTTGACTAATCCCTTTTCTTAAAAATAGTTTAAAGGCTGAAATGTGAGGTTTATCACTATATAAAACTTTATTTGTGAAAAACCTGTTTTTGAACTGCAAATCATGTTTTTTTACAGTCATTTTATGGTACCAGTCATTAATATGTTACCATAGACATTGCCCTACCCCGGTCATACAGTATTCATTTTTTCAGTCAGAAGTCAAGACAGTCAGAAAGAGCTTTATTGCCAAGTATGTTTGCGCACACAAGGAATTTTTTTTAGTGTCAGCTCCTGTGGCAGGTTGAATTTCCTCAGCTGGCGGGCGAAGGAAGTACAACCTTTATTGGGCCTTTTTAACAATGGAGCTGATGTGAGTGTCCCACTTCAGATCCTGGTGGTTCCCAGGAATCTGAATGACTCCACTGTCGTTACAGTGCTGCTCATGATGGTGAGTGGGGGGAGTGCAGGGGGATCCTCCTAAAGTCCACGATCATCTCCACAGTTTTGAGCGTGTTCAGCTCCAGGTTGTTGTGACTGCACCAGACAGCCAGCTCTTGTCTCCTGTCTGTAAGCAGTCTCGTCTCCGTCCTGAATGAGGCCGATGAGTGTGGTGTCTGCAAACTTCAGGAGTTTGACAGAGGGGTCTTTAGAGGTGCAGTCGTTGGTGTAGAGGGAGAAGAGCAGTGGGGAGAGGACAGAACCCTGAGGGCCACCAGTGCTGATGGTGCGGGTGTTGTATTTAAATTGACCAATTCTCACTAGCTGCTGCCTGTCTGTCAGAAAGCTGGTGATCCACTGACAGATAGAGCTAGGAACAGAGAGATGGGTTAGTTTGGTCTGGAGGAGTGTTGGGATGATGGTGTTGAAAGCTGAGCTAAAGATCCTCACATAAGTCACTGGTTTGTCCAGATGTTGCAGGATGAAGTGCAGTCCCATGTTGACTGCATCATCCACGGACCTGTTTGCTCGGTAAGCAAACTGCAGGGGGTCAAGTAAGGGTCCAGTAATGTCCTTCAGATAAGTCAACACCAACCTCTCAAATGTCTTAGAGTGGGGTTGCAGGAGGTGTTGATGGTTGTGTGGAGAGATGTTCAGAGTGGGTGTAGTGTGTTAGACTGGGAGTTTCACATCTACAGTAAAACTCATTCAGGTCTTCGGCAAGTTGTTGATTGGCCTCAGTGCTGGGGGATGGTGTCTTGTAGTTGGTGATGTCTTTCAGGCCTTTCCACACTGATGCGGGGTCGTTGGCAGAAAACTGGTGTTCTAGCTTTTTAGCGTAGTTCCTCTTGGCCACTCTAATCTCCTTATTCAGTGTGTTTCTGGCCTGATTGTACAAGACGTTACTACAGGTTTAGCTGATTTAAGTTTTTGCCTGTAAGTCGGTATAAGATGAACCAGGCAGTGGTCAGAGAGTCCTACAGCTGCTCTGGGGACAGAGCGAAATGCATCCTTTATTGCGGAGTAACAATGGTCCAGTATATTACGGTCTCTGGTGGGACATGTAACATGCTGTCTGTATTTTGGCAGTTCACAGGAGAGTTTTGCTTTATTAAAGTCCCCGAGAATGATTAAAACAGAGTCCGGGTGTTGTTGCTCTGTCTCTGTGATCTGATCAGTGAGTTTCTGTAAAGCCAGGCTCACGTGCGCTTGCGGAGGAATGTATACACTCACGAGAATGAACGAAGTGAACTCCCGCGGCGAATAGAAAGGCTTACAGTTAATGAAAAGGGAAAAAATACTAAAAAAAAAACATTTTTTTAAATGTATTTGTGCAGATCTTAAAAAGCCTTAAATTTTATTTTAAATACGGTTTATTTATTTTAATAAACTTTATTTTAAATAAATATAATACTGCAGACACCCTGTAAATTCTTTAATTTTTATATATTTATAATATAGGCATATTTATATTAGGCAATGTTATGTGCAGTTCACACAGGTGGTTTTTAATAGCACAATAACATCTGATTTAAAGTGAAGAACTTAAGTATGTTTGTAAACATGATTTACCACAGTTGTAATGTGCTGGAAAATCTGGAAAATGCACCTTGAAAGTGCTTGAATTTTACTTTGGGAAAGGTGTAGGAACCCTGTATGAAGACATTTTTCACAAAGGCAAGGTAAATAAAGTGATCGATAACGACGTTAAGATTTGTTACATACAGGTAAGTCAAAATATATTACTTATAATCAAAATTTTAGACCAAAATACTGAAACGTTAGCGAGCTGGTAATTAAATTCAAATTGATTTTAAGAAATATTCGGTCATTTAGACCTCTAGTTCTTGATATCTCTCAACATTCACTGTCTCTAGTACATTTAGCACACGTACTTTAAATGCCTCCATAAAATCATGCTTTCAAATTTGTTTCTTGGACAACTTCTCAAGTCTTTTTTCCAAAAGGAAAGATTTGACATTTTATTTCACATTTTGTTTAAACATTGGAGTAGCTTAGTTAAGCCTCTGTTGGACAAAATGTCCAGGAGAATCAGGCCTTTGACCACCTGTGTCCGTCTCATGATTTCACATTGTTGCTGTGTTTCAACGTTTATGCATTGTGTCCTCCAGAGGGCGCTGCTGACCGCATGTTGAGACCAATATATAAATGTGTTCACTGTATAACATCACTCATATAACATTTACCTGTCGGCATTCAGGTCAACAAAAATATGCACAGATAAGCAAATATTAAAAGAATGTTCAATGTGTTTAAAAAAAATTATTGTAAATTTAAACCCGTTTTGCTATTGTCAGTGTTTTTAATACCCGTGCACACTATACTTTATTATTCAACATGGTGATGAGAAAAGTAGGATAAAGAGTGGCTCTAATCAAGTCATGAAAACAGCACATCAGCAAGTTAACAGGAACATTTGGCTTGTCTTTAAAAATCCGAAAGCATGCCAATAAAGATAATTTTGAATGATATCCACTACACTTCAGTTCTCTGTTGCACAGCTCATAATGTTGTTACCGGTGAAGAGAAGACAGGGTTCAGTCTGTTCATTTAATACAGGCAAAAAGGAGTTCTATAATTCTATAGTTTAATTGAGTTATGCGTGTAATAGATCAGTTAAGAGGTGCGGAGTCATGTTCCCATTGAATTGTTGAAACATTTGAGTCAAATGTTGAAATTAAGAACATAATTGCTCTATTTTATTTAAAAAAGAGTACTTGTACTTGTAGTACTTGTAGTAATAAATCTCATGATATACCAGTGAATCATCTTTTAATTGAGCAGTTTTGTTTTTTTAAACGCTGATGCACAATGACAAATATTAAGGCAGGTCACTTAATGCATGTAGCGAAAGAAAATCAGACTGAAACTAGTTCTATAGAGGAATGAATAAGAAAGTGTAGTCTTTAATCACACCTGCTGCTAAACAGGTGGCAATTAGCAACTTAAGACTGTCAGAAAAACCTGATCATGTTTGAATGCAGATTAAGCCATGCAAATGTTCGGACATGTTGTAAAACACGCAAGCAAACTGATGAAATCACACATTATTCATGCATAGTTTACTGAATTAAAAAAAGAGTCAAAAAGTTTGCATACTTTTTATTACTGGATTGCATTCATACATAAAATACAAAAACCTTAATGGAAAAAGTATTTACAAATGTATAAAACCTAAGATTATATTACACGAATCTGACTATAAACAGAAAAATTGTTCAGAGTTAATTTTTTGTTTCTTATATAAAAATATGAGCGTCTTGCATATCAAAATTATTGCACCTCACAACCACAGTGCAGTTTAGATTGCCGTCACCAAAGAGAGGTCATGCGTTCGCCCCCAAGACTCACAGACTTCAATTAAAATCCACTTGTATCTTTGGTACCTTACTGAATACACCTGGCTATACTCCGCACCATCTTGTAACACACATAAATTATTCTGTACCTGAAATTAATGGCTGAGCAATAAAACAATCCAGAAGACGGATCAGTGTTTTGAGGATCGCGTGATGGAATGTAGGTCGATTAAAGGCCTCTTTAATACATATATTGTAATGTTTCCATTTATTATCCCTGATATTCATATATTTCCAGTCTTGTGTTTGGCACTTGGCATCTCCAAGTTTGTCGGTAAGTAGACGCATGTTCCAGTATTGTCCCAGTGTGCAGGAAACGGACGGAATCGCCAGCATGTTGGAAGACAACGACAAAAAGGGAAAAATGACGGTGGCTCAGAGAGCTCAACGCGCTGCAACTTCAGAACACACATGCAAATAGAAAAAGCACCAGCAAATCAAGAAAACATCATCAGTTTGACAGCACATGTGCTGCAAATACTCACAACACAAACAAATACAGAAACACGCAAGTAGCACAAGATGTTTTCTTAATTTGCATGTGTTTTTTCATTTGTAGCGCGTTGAGCTCTCTCGGCCAACTTAAAAAATAAACAAAACGAACACGAAAAGTCCCAACCCTGATGCTGTGGACAACACAGCTTGTCATGGAGCTCTAGTTTCACTGACTCTTGTTCAAAGACAACACATGGTTCGCTAGTCCACTAGTATCTTGACTTTTTTGGGGGGTCTTCCAGTCTTGGTTATAGATGGCGTTTCATGTGCAGCGCGAGGTGGTCGGACCGGGAAAAGGCTCGGTCGCATTTCTGGCACTGAAACGGCCGATGGCCCGTGTGCTTTCTGTAATGCCTCGTGAGCTCGTCCGAACGGGCGAATTTCCAGCCACATCCCTCCCAGTCACAGTGATACGGCTTTTCTCCTGAACACAGAGACACGCAACAGTTAGCGTTTCCCCCTGAGGTCCTAACGAGAACAATCAAGCACACTTTGGTCACATTAGAGAAAGCCGTTAGAGAGGGAGACAACAATTCAAATGTTGCTCATCCCTGCGTTGATTGAATAGAAGGGGAAGTCGGACAGGCTTGTGGTTTTATTTCAACGGGGATCAGTATCAACCTGCTGTTTGAATAGCAGATCAAACCACCTGCCAACTGTACTCTCACTATATATGTCTCTAGTCACTCGCAGACAATGCGCTTTGGCAGTGCTGTGTTAGGGCGTGTTAGATTGTTATTAAAGCACATGCACACGACAGAAAAAGGCATGTTACAAACACTGACCTGTGTGAGTCCTGTGGTGGGCTTTGAGATGGGAGCTCTTGGTGTATGTTTTGCCACAGCCTGCGTAGGTGCACGTGTGCGTCGCTGTCCGCTTCCTCGGCCAGGAGCGCCGACCCCGCTTGGGCTTGGACTCTTCAGGCAAACCCTCGGCTGGAGAAATCAGCTCTGCCGAAGAGGAAAGAGCCCAGAGCGTTAGTGTCACTGAGGCAGAAATTAATGCTTTACAAATTCAACAAATGACTCTACAGGTCATCTTTAAAGGGGTCATGAACTGAGAAACCAATATTCCCTTGATCTTTTGACATGTAAGAGGTCATTGTACTATAAAAACATCCTGTAAGTTTCAGAACTCGAATCTCTCTCGTTAAAAACAGTTTATATTGAAGGCAGTCTGCCAAAACGACAGCTTGTGGAATGTTCTACTCTGTGATGTAATAGTATGGATAAGCACGGCCTCCGCAGAAGATCAACACCAATTCTATGTCACTGCCTGTTTAGCCCCGCCCACCGATTCTACAGCACTGCCTGTTTAGCCCCGCCCACCGATTCACCAATGTAGTGTAATATCGAGAGAGGGGAATGCAGCTGTACACAGAAACCAAACGATAAAGATACTCCGAAGACAACAAGACGCTGTGCAGTTCCAAGCTGTGGAAAAAACAGTGTTTGCATTGCCTTCCTTCTGATCCCAACGTTAGGAAAGAGTGGATGAACTTCAGACCACGTCAGTAAGATCTCTGTCTTCTGTTCACTACATTTTACCGTGAATTTGTTTACACAAGGCACAATTCGACACTGGATTTTCAGAAAGATTGAAATTAAAGCCGATGCTGTGTGACTACACTGGATCTGACAGTAATGTCGCAACACACAAGTGTGAGTAACTGTTATTGCGTGATCACTATTGCTTTGTCTCTTCTTACACATCGTTTGATATGTATTGAGTTATTTATGCGTTAGCCAACTGTTAGCCAATCACAGCTGTATTTTGATGCAACAATCTTGATAACATGGACTTCAGAGAACAGTACAAAATAAAAAACATGAGGGGAGTCAAAACAGGACAGAAAATAGCCTATTACTTCTAAATTCTGATGTATTTTGATGCAACAATCTTGATAACATGGACTTCAGAGAACAGTACAAAATAAAAAACATGAGGGGAGTCAAAACAGGACAGAAAATAGCCTATTACTTCTAAATTCTGATGTATTTTGATGCAACAATCTTGATAACATGGACTTCAGAGAACAGTACAAAATAAAAAACATGAGGGGAGTCAAAACAGGACAGAAAATAGCCTATTACTTCTAAATTCTGATGTATTTTGATGCAACAATCTTGATAACATGGACTTCAGAGAACAGTACAAAATAAAAAACATGAGGGGAGTCAAAACAGGACAGAAAATAGCCTATTACTTCTAAATTCTGATGTATTTTGATGCAACAATCTTGATAACATGGACTTCAGAGAACAGTACAAAATAAAAAACATGAGGGGAGTCAAAACAGGACAGAAAATAGCCTATTACTTCTAAATTCTGATGTATTTTGATGCAACAATCTTGATAACATGGACTTCAGAGAACAGTACAAAATAAAAAACATGAGGGGAGTCAAAACAGGACAGAAAATAGCCTATTACTTCTAAATTCTGATGTATTTTGATGCAACAATCTTGATAACATGGACTTCAGAGAACAGTACAAAATAAAAAACATGAGGGGAGTCAAAACAGGACAGAAAATAGCCTATTACTTCTAAATTCTGATGTATTTTGATGCAACAATCTTGATAACATGGACTTCAGAGAACAGTACAAAATAAAAAACATGAGGGGAGTCAAAACAGGACAGAAAATAGCCTATTACTTCTAAATTCTGATGTATTTTGATGCAACAATCTTGATAACATGGACTTCAGAGAACAGTACAAAATAAAAAACATGAGGGGAGTCAAAACAGGACAGAAAATAGCCTATTACTTCTAAATTCTGATGTATTTTGATGCAACAATCTTGATAACATGGACTTCAGAGAACAGTACAAAATAAAAAACATGAGGGGAGTCAAAACAGGACAGAAAATAGCCTATTACTTCTAAATTCTGATGTATTTTGATGCAACAATCTTGATAACATGGACTTCAGAGAACAGTACAAAATAAAAAACATGAGGGGAGTCAAAACAGGACAGAAAATAGCCTATTACTTCTAAATTCTGATGTATTTTGATGCAACAATCTTGATAACATGGACTTCAGAGAACAGTACAAAATAAAAAACATGAGGGGAGTCAAAACAGGACAGAAAATAGCCTATTACTTCTAAATTCTGATGTATTTTGATGCAACAATCTTGATAACATGGACTTCAGAGAACAGTACAAAATAAAAAACATGAGGGGAGTCAAAACAGGACAGAAAATAGCCTATTACTTCTAAATTCTGATGTATTTTGATGCAACAATCTTGATAACATGGACTTCAGAGAACAGTACAAAATAAAAAACATGAGGGGAGTCAAAACAGGACAGAAAATAGCCTATTACTTCTAAATTCTGATGTATTTTGATGCAACAATCTTGATAACATGGACTTCAGAGAACAGTACAAAATAAAAAACATGAGGGGAGTCAAAACAGGACAGAAAATAGCCTATTACTTCTAAATTCTGATGTATTTTGATGCAACAATCTTGATAACATGGACTTCAGAGAACAGTACAAAATAAAAAACATGAGGGGAGTCAAAACAGGACAGAAAATAGCCTATTACTTCTAAATTCTGATGTATTTTGATGCAACAATCTTGATAACATGGACTTCAGAGAACAGTACAAAATAAAAAACATGAGGGGAGTCAAAACAGGACAGAAAATAGCCTATTACTTCTAAATTCTGATGTATTTTGATGCAACAATCTTGATAACATGGACTTCAGAGAACAGTACAAAATAAAAAACATGAGGGGAGTCAAAACAGGACAGAAAATAGCCTATTACTTCTAAATTCTGATGTATTTTGATGCAACAATCTTGATAACATGGACTTCAGAGAACAGTACAAAATAAAAAACATGAGGGGAGTCAAAACAGGACAGAAAATAGCCTATTACTTCTAAATTCTGATGTATTTTGATGCAACAATCTTGATAACATGGACTTCAGAGAACAGTACAAAATAAAAAACATGAGGGGAGTCAAAACAGGACAGAAAATAGCCTATTACTTCTAAATTCTGATGTATTTTGATGCAACAATCTTGATAACATGGACTTCAGAGAACAGTACAAAATAAAAAACATGAGGGGAGTCAAAACAGGACAGAAAATAGCCTATTACTTCTAAATTCTGATGTATTTTGATGCAACAATCTTGATAACATGGACTTCAGAGAACAGTACAAAATAAAAAACATGAGGGGAGTCAAAACAGGACAGAAAATAGCCTATTACTTCTAAATTCTGATGTATTTTGATGCAACAATCTTGATAACATGGACTTCAGAGAACAGTACAAAATAAAAAACATGAGGGGAGTCAAAACAGGACAGAAAATAGCCTATTACTTCTAAATTCTGATGTATTTTGATGCAACAAAACATTATAAGTGGACCTCAGAGAACAGTACAAAATAAAAAACAGGCAGTTTATGACCCCTTTAACTCTTTCCCCGCCAGCGGTTTTGAAAAAAGTTGCCAGCCACTGCCAGCATTTTTGCTGATTTTCACTGAAATTTCATGGCCCCCAGAATATTTTGTTGTATGAATATCTGAACATGCATCAGACACTCTACTTTCAAACAAAAAAATCTGTTTTATTCTAGTTTCAAGCATTGTTTTTTTATCAACACTTGAATGTAGGTAGGTTTCATAAAAAAAAGCAACATTCTGAGCAAAAAAGCTGAGAAAATCGCATTTTTATCCAATACTACATCTGGATCATATTCAGCAATATTATCAAAGCAAAGATGCAGTAGATGGCTTCCATCAGCGCTCCCAAAGCTTGCACAGGCCTTTACCACTTTCTGGATCCACATTTCACTCGCTAACATTAGTCAGTTTTCATTTATATGCGGTTAGTGTCGATGATCGCATTATTTTTCATATGCATATGCTTACATATTAGATTGCTCGTTTCTGCTTCTTCCTGGTCTGTGTTTTTGATCGGCACTTTCTAGACTCATTCAGGAGATGCGTGATAGCGCCCCCTAGCGTATAACAGCGAGAACACGGAAACCCGGAAAATTCCGTGTTTGGCAGGGAAAGAGTTAAAGGTAAGGTAAGGTATAACATAAATGAAGAGTTTGAGTTGTGACTGACCTTGGTACTGCATTGACTGGGCGGGAGGCTGCGGAAAGCCAGAATAACCCGGCGAGGGGTGATATTCCGGGGCCAGGGAGATCGGAGGGGGCCCTAGAACCTGAGCTTGAGGATGCTCGTCCGGAGACAGAGAGGAAGTGGAAGAGCTACTGGGCCCCATGGGCCTTCGGGCCGTGCTGAAACCTTGAGGCTCCAGCAGCGGTCTCTGGCTGACTCCATGCCGCGAGTTCACCCCCAGATGGAGATCCATCGGTCGGGTGATGCCGCAAGTGCTAGGATGCTCCTGCTTTATCCTAGGACATGCAAACGGCAAGGAGGAAGAGTCCGACATTGAGCCTCCCTTACTAAGCCCTTGGCTGTAATCGTTCATGTCCATGGTGGTCTTCACCACAAACCTTCCGTGGAGGCTCGTGGGCTGAAGATACGCAGGATCCAGCTCCGGCCTCATCAACTCGGCGACAAAACCTCCCGAGGGAGATACGTCGCTGATGTCCGGGATGTTGTACAACATGCTGGACTCTTGTCCCTGAGGAGAGGGCATCGGATAGGGGTAGGGCGTAGCGGAAGGCGGAAGAGTTCTGGAGGTGCTGGCCATTGAGGCCTCCTGCTGCTGTTGTTGTTGTTGTTGTTGTTGAAGCATGCTGTTCGACAGGATAAAATCATAGTCCAACAGGTCCAGCTCTTCTGGCTCCTTCTTGGTCATTACGGAAGGGACGTCCTGGTCAGTGCAGGTCCCACCTGTAGACATGCAGGGGCATTTCAGGTGAGAAATCTCCTCCTTCCATCTCTTATTCCAAACACACAGAGACATGCAGAGGGAAGAGGGAACAAGACAAGGTAAGTCTCTCAAAGACATAGTCATCAAAAGTGTGTCAAAATCAATATCTACCCTACTGGAAAAAAAAAACACAAATGAAGAGTTCAGATGCAAAAGCTTCTACGTGCCGTCTGAAATTTTCATCTAAAATGAGCATTTTTATCAGGCTCCTATGTTTAGGTTAGGTAATTTTACTCTAATGGCGATGCATAGGGGTCCTTTTCTATGCAATTACCTTCTATGCAATGAACCTAAACATAGGAGCCTGATAAAAATGCTCATTTTAGATGAAAATTTCAGATGGCACTTAGAGGCTTTTGCGTTTGAACTCTCCAAATAGACAACATCACAGAATTTGTAATGGTTTTAATGGGACTTGTGTTGGTTTTAATGGAAACTATAATGGTGCCTGTGGGTTTCTACTGGTAATCGGTCACCTTCTATTAATGGCTTGTTAAAACCAATAAATCCTAATGGAATATGTCCCAAAACACACTACGGAAAACCATTTTTTAATGGTTTTAATGGTTAGAAGTTGATTGTTTGTAATGGTGTTTGTAGTGGAAACCATTAGAATTTCTGTGATGGTTTCTATTGTTGACATGTTGATTTCAATTCAAATGCGACCTTGTTCTTGTCTTCAACACACATTATTTCTAGATACAACTTGGCCTCTGATGTTATTATGAATTATTAAAAGACCCTGTCATGCTGCATTGTTTTTATGTTTCCAACTACAGTGCCTGAAAGAGAATTCACACTGCTAGAAGTATTTTGTAATCAGTGCACGGTAAAGAACTTTAGATATTTGTGACCCTGGAGCACAAAAGCAGTCTTAAGCCGCACATACAACAATACACTGTATGGGTCAAAATTATCCATTTTTCTTTTATGCCAAAAATCATTAGGATATTAACTAAAGATCGTGTTCCATGAAGATATTTTGTTATGTAAATGTCCTACCGTAAACTTAATTTTTGATTAGTAATATGCATTGCTAAGAACTTAATTTGGCCAACTTTAAAGATGATTTTCTCAATATTTCGATTTTTTTGCACCCTCAGATTCCAGATTTTCAAATAGTTGCATCTCGGCCAAATATTGTCCTATCCTAACAAACCATACACCAATGGAAAGATTATCTATTCAGCTTTCACATGATGTATAAATCTCATTTTCAAAAAATTGACCCTTATGACTGGTTTTGTGCTCCAGGGTCACATTGTATAGTGAACGGTTTGGAACGGTTCACGCCCGTGCGCTGCTGCAGGAATAACTACGATCCGGTGACAGTCTGAAACAGCGGCGAATGTGCCCGGTGACCGATAATCACCTGTTTGATACTCACTAAACTGGCAGTTCCAGGTCTCGTCATTGCCTTGTGCTTCACATCTGCGTCGCTCGCAAATCTGGAAATAGACGGCAAAAGCGTGCCGCTCAGTGCCATGCTGTCAAACTCACTCGCTGGCTGCCTGCAATTGAAAAAAGCGCAAAAAATAAAATAATCCTTTAGTCACGCAGGTCTGGGAAAACTATCGGACACATCAAAGCCAAAAGAAAAAGCGATGGACAGCTCCAAGTGCAAAACGCACCTCATCAGTGGAAAACACGTCCAGTCAATCCTTGATGGGAGTCTTTATTACAGCCGTTAATACTGCGAGCGCGGAGCAAAGAGCGCATCAGACGCGTCCCCGTGCCATGCTGACGGAACCGGCCATTCAAACCAGCTTCGGCTCGGTTTCGCTACTCGGGGATTCCCTATCGCGAGCTGTCCGGTGTCTGGACTCGAGTGACTCGTCCGATGCGCGCAGGGCTTTCCTCGCCTAGTTCTTAAACCCCGGACACGCCTCTCGTTGCGCGGCAACCGCAGGAAAAATACACCTCGTGACGTCATCAAGAGGGAGGAGGGAACAAAAACAATCTGGCAGCGGGCCGATATTTTGTATCCAAACAAACATGTGCGTGTTAGCAACCGGAGTGAGAAAGCACGATCAGCTTCTGTCCTCTCTCAAACACGAAGCGTGCTCCAGTGACACCTGCTCCTGGCGTGAGTTATCGAGGAGCTGAACACTGCTCACACAGTCCTGACACTCAGGCGTGTCTGTCATTAACCCTAATCATTTTTCTTTATACCTAAGGCACAGGACAAAGGCAGGCAGACATGTGTAGGATTGCTTTGTGATGAAAAGCCTTGCCTCTCATTCATTCAGTCAGTGTTCATAACCTGATCATGAGTAAAATCTTCTGTTGATCTGGCATATTACTGCAGTCTTTTGCTGGAGACAGTACCTTCGTTGTTTGTGTGTCAGCATTTTCACTTCTGTATTGTTTTTTTAGTTATTTTAATAACTTTGCATTCTCAGTTTGCAATTTTTATTTGATTTATGAAAATAAATAGGCAGAAAAAAATAAATGCATTCTAAGAAGGGTTTGTATCAGAGGCACTTCTAAATTTGGAAGCCGTTTCTGCCACAGGATTTATATATATAATTCATAAAATTAGATAATTGCCACTATTTATCTCAGAATTCAGACATTGTTTCTTGCAGTTCTGAGAAAAAAAGTCAGAAATGTAGGATATAAACACAAAATTGTGAGATATAAAATCTGAAATCTGACTTTTTTTCTCACAATTCCAAGTTTCTATCTTAACATTAGGACTCTTTTCTCAAAATTCTGAGCTAACATCTCACAATTTTTTATTTTTTTTGCTGTTTGTTTGTTTGTTTCCGCCACGGAATAAAAAAGAAAGTTCATTGCAGCTTGTTACCTGACAACTCAGATTTATTTATTGTGAGATATTAACTCAGAAAAGTCAGAATTGTCTGATAAGAAGTCACAATTACCTTTTAATTTTATTTTTTTTATTCCGTAGCAGAAAAGGACCTCTATAACTAACTAACTAACTTCTGTAAAACAGCCACGAAGGATAGCAGACCCAATGTCATTGTGATATTTCATTTAATGGACTGTTCAATTGTGTTTCTGTAACTCTTCGGTGTCAGTATTTGAACATATTAAGCAATATGAACAGTTGGATCATTTTTAACAGCCCTTATCATTTTGTTTTAATGCTAAAAACATTTTTGTGCTGTGATGAGCCATTAGGCTAGTGCTGTGTATTAAGAGGCGGCTTCTACATAAACTCGTTTCTCCTCCGCAGTGTCTACAATCATCTTTGTATGGTGAGCAAACACGAGCTCGGAGACCATCCTGTTACATCAGGATCTTGTTCGTATGGCTTTGTCAACAGCAGGCCTTCATTTAGCCACAGAACACACTGAATGTTGCCCCTTTAACACACAGATGCACACACACACATTCTCACGCTCAAACAGTCCCACGATACTTGTACTTGTATTATAATTTCATGATTAATGTAGCTTGGATAGACAAGTCTGTTGATTTGCTACTGTTTTATTGCACTTGATCTTGCACTGCATCCAGATTCGTTTGCGTGTAATGTTCAGGATTGTGGAGGTGGATGTTTTTATTTAGTGAAAAATGATTGTCCAGTCTGAGCAGAGAGATATATTTGGTTCTTTGGTTTCATGACAAAAAAACTATTTTTGGAAAGAGAAGCGTCAGGCTTACAGGAGTGTGTTTTATCTAGTGCCATAATGTTTATGTCATCTGTTGTTTTTGTTACCCTTCCTTGCAAAGCTAGGTGTGTAAAACTAAGTTGCTTTTTTTAAAGCACAATATAAGAACGTGAGGAAAAAGAATGGAATTAGAAATGAGTTTATGTCTTTATAATGGCAGTGATGGACTTTTACACCTTTTTATGCAAATGCCACACTTTCCAGTTTCAATAACAACAGGAATGGTTTGGAATATGTGTTTGCATTTCAGAGCTAAAACACATTTTTAGGCCTCTAAGAGGTGTTTCCTTTCATTTCCTTGGCATAGTGTGTTCACGTTCTGATAGGATGACTTATGATTTGCAATCAAATATTGACTGTCTTACTGCTCTGTACCTGTGGGAAAATCTTGACAGACTCTCTATCCAGGAATCAGAATGCATTTATATAAACAGGTGATCTCTCCTCTTTTGATGCTTTCAGTAAATGTGCATATGGTGGAGTGTAAAGATTAATTTCCACGATACTGCCATCGGTAGTGAGTGGGTTAAATTATCATCAATGAATGAATGTATTTGACTTGCTGATGGGATTGTTAAAGCTTCAGTCAGTTTTTTTGAAATTTAGATTTATGCATCAGCTGAAAGCTGAATAAATAAGCTTTCCATTGATGTATGGTTTGTTAGGATAGGACAATATTTGAAAATCTGGAATCTGAGGGTGCAAAAAAATCTAAATACTGAGAAAATCATCTTTAAAGTTGTCCAAATGAAGTTCTTAGCAATGCATATTACTAATCAAAAATTAAGTTTTGATATATTTACGGTAGGAAATTCACTAAATATCTTCATGGAACACAATCTTTACTTAATATCCTAATGATTTTTGGCATAAAAGAAAAATTTATAATTTTGACCCATACAATGTATTGTTGGCTATTGCTACACATATACCCCAGCGACTTAAGACTGCTTTTGTGCTGCAGGGTCACATTTAAATATCTTCGCAGCCGAAGGTCAAGTGTAATTCTTTAGAAGCCATTGATTGAACTGTACAAACTAAGACTCAAACGGGTGAATACTTTGAGGGTTGGGAATAGTGCAGTTTAATGGTAGATTAAAAGAAAGCCACCAAGATAAACAGTGTTTAAGGAGAAACAGAGCAAGATGTCAGAGCCATTAGATGAGTTTCCATAAGTGCAAAACACAATGGACGCTGTGTGTGTACAGTATAGAGCTGTGTTTTTTTATTTTGAAAAAGTAAACAAGATGCAAGTTTCATAGTTGCATGTCCAGAATTTCTGTCATTACTACAGCAAGGGTGGGCTAAATGCATGTTCCTTTTAAACGCGCTGATACAGATTTCTTTAGACAGTTGCATCAACCCATCAAATAAAGAGGGAAAAGAATTAGGAAGGAGCAGGCGTGAGCTCCTGTCGCGAGGCAGTCTGCGCCGCCTCTGAGCTTGAAGGGATTCCTCCTCGGCCTTAAATATGCTGGTTATTTTTAACCCAGCGTGTAAGAGCCGCCCAGCGCCGCCCACTGTGTAACAATGTTCCCCTTCAGCCAGCAGAGGAAATGGACAGGAGCCACGCTTCCTGATCACGTGACGCGGTGGCCCACGACAGAGGGAGAGATCCAGGTCTCTGCGAGGGGATTTAGCCCCTTCAGCGCGGTTAGGGTGCGACGCGCGGGGCATATTGGACCGGGGTGATGTCACTGGGCTTCTCCAGGATTAGAAACCTCTAAAAAGCTGGGAAAACCGAACTGCACCACACATTCACACACGATCCATAAGCCTGAGCACTTAGTGCACTTAGTGTTAGACACACTTCATATACTCTCAGTTGTTACTCAGGTGGTACCCTTTCAAAAAGTACTTCTTTGTGCATTTAAGATTCTTTTGGGGTAAATAAGGGTAAGCACGAGTGACAGCCTTTGTATGAATGTTTTAAATTTAAATACAATGTTTCTCAGGAGCTTTGCAGGAGGTTTCTTGAAGCATCAGTTCTTCTGGATTGAGTCTCAGTTTGTTCTGTTTCTTCATGTGACTCCAGACAGACTGATGATGAGAGATCAGATCTCTGTGTGCAGCACAAACATATATCTCACTGCATTATTACAATTAATGGCCAAATGAATGTTTGGAAATGTAAACTGATATTTCCTACTGACACACTACAGAAAAAGATAGAAATAACTGACTTAAAACCATTTTTAGCTGCTGAGAATACTAGTGTTCTAATCATTTTGGCCAGCAGTGTATATTAAAAAAATAAAGAATTTTACTACTGAGTTGCATTTACATTACATGTACATTTAAGTGTTTAGCAGACACTTTTATCCAAAGCAACTTATAAAAGAGGAGCAAAACCAGGTTGTCAAAGAGCAACTATATACATAATATACAGTCAGTGTTGCGGAAAGTTACTTTTAAAAGTAATGCATTACAATGTTGCATTACTCCATAAAAAGTAACTAATTGAGTTACTTAGTTACTTTTTATGGAAAGTAATGCATTGTTACTTTTGTGTTACTTTTTGTCACCTGGGCTGGGCTTGCTTATTTATTTTTAACAACAAAAAACCCAAAGGTTATATTTTTGTAAACTGTAAGGGCCCTTTCAAAGTGAAATTAATAAGCCTCGGGCTCTGCGTTTACTCCCGTGCTCTCTCAACACAAAAAAGACAGGAGAGCTGTCTGTCAATAAATGGGAAAACAAAGTAACGTGCCTCACTTATTTGAAAAAGTAACTCAGATATTTTATTTTGAATTTGAAAAAGTAATCTGATTACATAACTCACGTCACTTGTAATGCGTTACCCTCAACACTAGTGTAAACAATGGCAGGTTTATCAAATAACTTAGATTAGCAAGCAAGCTAGGTTGAGTTTAAATAACATAACTGAGAACTATTTAAGTCTCTTGAGACCTGAAAGAGTGTATTTTCAGATGATACTTCTGAGGAGAAGAAGCAGCAGAGATGAAATGCTTATAAAGCGTTTGGAGGGCAGATGTTGGAGGTTTGAGCTCTTCTTGATGAGCAGTCAAAGAGGAGATTTAATTTATAGCCATTATTATAGTGTATGTTAAACAACTCCCCCTTTGTGTGGGCCGGAACAACAGTTTGGTTATTTTGGTTTCTCCAAAAAAAGAGACCACCGCATCCCAAGAGTCTCCAAATTGCTCCTCCTCTGCTTTTAGCAAGCATTACACTTACTCATGAGCAGACG